AGAGAAAATCATTAAAAATACTAGAAAAGTGAGATGCATTGTTTTAATCTCCCTTCATGTGTCAACGTGGGTTACGTAAAATATCTGCCTTTCACATTTATATCAATTTATTAAGCAATCTGCATTACAGTTGCAATACAGCTTACAAGACAGTCTTGATCAGCAACCAATGATTCGTTACCCAGAAATGTTAATGATAATTATCCGTAAATGCTACAAAATAAACGAAGAATAAGCTTTTTTTTGAAGATTATTGTTGAAAAGAACAAAAGATTCTCCGCAGGGCAGGTCGACATGATGGCTAATGAAAAATAGGTTATACACTGGACTGATGCTGTCATCGTAGCATTACATCTCACCCATTCGACTGTCAACTAAAAGACATTTTCTATATCATTATGTAAATATTCAGCCAATTCGACTGTATTTTGTACAACAAGATCGCTCATCATTGTTTCAAGCAAACTATTCATTTCTTTTTCCATTATTTGTGCATTTTCAGTGTCTCCCTTTGCTATAAAACATTGTGCAAATATATAGCAAATATAGGGCATTGTAACTAATGTCACTTTTGCATACTTTTTTATCATATGTTGTACGTGAACATCAACTGTTAATAAATCGTACTTTCCGTATGAATTTTGAAGTTCATGAATTTTATTTTTATATAATTTAAACATCTCATTTTTTAATAACGTATTTTCTTCATTGATAACTATATTATGCCGTTTTTCATTACATAGATAGTTCATGTATTCTGCAAATCCACATAAATCGCAACATCGAACTGTCATTTGAAATAGTACTTCGATATGTCGATGAAGTCGTTCGATCGAGCCGAATTTTAGTAGTAGCTGAAAATGATTTTTAGTGTCTTTAATTGCTGCATACCAGGTTACAGCTTCGTTCGTGCCCACACCAGCAATGAACGTGTCATCTTCAATTCCATCAGCCGTTGATATGGCCACACTCAATAATTCCTTGTAGACTTGACCGGCTAATATCATATGTCCGTTTTCTCTCATTTCCTTAGCAATGTCAGACGAAAGATGGTATAAATGTTTAACTTTTATCCAATCAACTCTACTGTCTTGCATACAAAAAAGTTGTAAAATTGTAGCCAAATATGTTCTAGTTGCTGCAAGATAATAATTATTTGTGTTACTCGATTCGAGCAGTTCCATACTTTCTTTCACCAGACTGGCAATAAATTTATCAGCACTGGTCTTTTCGTCGGGAAAAACTTCGATGTAAAGCTGCCAACAAACTTTGATGGATTCAATATTATCCAAATGAATTTGCAAAAAAATCAATAATGTTTTCAGAAACAACATTTGCACATATTTCATTTCAATATCCCATGAACAATGTAAAATATTAAGTACAGCATAAATGCTTTTCAGCAACTCATTTTTAGAGGCCATAGGTTGACTAAAATGAAAATCAATGTCATCAGATCTAAATAAATCAAGAAAATGGATGGAGAAAGTAAAGTTTATTAGACGTTATCACCGTAAGACATGAGAGAAGATGTTAAAATGTTGCAGTTATATCCTCTATTCTCAGTCTGAAATACCCAAAAATAGTTTTGTATGCTTAGAATCGAACTGAACCTCAAGCAGCTTTTTTCATGTGAGTTGAATGAGTTTGACATATGTTTGATATACTAAACGGCAAGAATAGTCCGCAACATCATGTTATATTTGATACTCACTCATGATCAACAATGACCGTTATGCATAATGCCCATTGATGCGCTATTTCTTCTTTTTCGGATGTTGTTAACGACCATCCAATGCTGTCCGCAAGATACCTCATATGGTCAATAATTGAATCCAGTACTTTTTCATCTGTGCACGTATTCACCATTGTAAACGTTGTTCGAAAAAACTTCACATTTAGTGCTGAAACGACATCAGCCCCATCAGTTGTTTCAGAACAGTGATTGATATAAGAAATAATTTGATTCATATCTCTATAAAAAGTAAACTTTTGTCTATCACCATACACGTATAGATGTGATAATTTTTCAATTGATGCTAGCAAGTATGGGCTAAATAATATGTCAGAATTTTTGTCAGCAAAAAATTGTATTGGATTTTGATGAAACTTTGTGAGAATAATAACAACATTATCTATTATATGGTCCGATATCCCATCGAGTAGATTGCACTTATCAATAAAGTAATGTTCAATATATTTCGACGATAAACTGTCTATGACAAATGCAATTAACTTAAGAAAGTGTGAAGCTGTGGATGAAGCTGTTTCTGTATTATTCTCGCAAAATCGAAAAAAAAGGGCTTTTGAAATATTATTGGTTATCGCCTCAGCCGAGTTTATTATTTTCAAAAGACTGCGTAGTAAACCGTAACATTGTTTCTGGTGTGGTTTTAATAAGCGTGCAAGCCGTTTTTCAACATTAGAAAACGAAATACGCCACTCGTTATTCTTGTTTGCGCTTGATTTTCGCCCGACGGGCACTACATGGAAACCGTTCGTTTGTATAATATCTTCAACAACTTCGTCGTTTAACCAACCATGACATTGTACTCGAGTTTTCCACGATGAAACAATAGACGGCCAAACGGGACAGTGTAATGCAAAGACTAGATCGGTTGAATAGACGTACGATAAATTACCAATAATCGTTACATTAATTGCTGGTCCAGATTTTTTGTGAGAAACAACATGTGTCATTGCGTTTGGATCAATGTATTTTGTTGTGCACTGATTAACGAATTCATCACTGCACAAAAATTCATTATTAGAATAATCATAAATTTTCCCATAGTTAGAATTGGAAAAGTAGAAGAAAATAAGACCAACTTGTGACGAAATACTGCGGATTGATATATTCCTAATATTATCTAAATCTTGAATTATCATATCTTTAACAACAAGCATAAGATCAAAATCACGATCTTTTATCAGTTCGTTGCACTGCGTTTTTACTTCGAAATAAGACTGAGGAATTCTTGTACACATTCCATCGTACAAACTACCACTGGGTAAAATGTCGACCGACGCAAGGTCAATTCCGAATCCATCTAGGCCAGGTAAGTGACTATCTTCAAAATAGTCGGTATAAGTGGCAAATGGTTCTAGTATGTCATTGAAGATTTTTAATTTATCATTTTCTATTTCCTGACACATTGTTGTTTAATAGATTGAATAAAAACAGAAGAAACAATTACTTTTTTCGATGCAAGTGCAATTTGTTATGTACAACACACATGTTTTGTGCATTCAATGAATACAAATACATCAGTACAAAACGATGAAGTGAAGAAAGCAAGAACAAAAAACACATGGAGAGCAGTTTGGTGACTGCATCCTGTTCTTCTATCGAAAGCGGAAAATAGAGTGTGTAATAAGATTGATCATACTCCTCTCATATAAACTTATGATTAACGTTTCTCCGAAACGAAACCATCTGCAAAGTTCGGAGTTTAACCCTTTGGGTCCGGGTGACGAGAATTCTCGTCCTGATATTTTGCACTCTGAATAGCTTTCGTAAATATTACGTATTGATTATTCAATGAAATGAATGACCCAGCTTTGTCTGTTGATCTCAAGTATGTTATTAGTTTTGCTTGAAAATATATGGGGAGTGAAAATGGTGCAAAGTAAATAAAATAAAGAAGGTTAGAGGGTAAATATGTAATCTTCCTGACAAAAGTTTCACCATGTTTTTCGGAACCAT